TAAATGGCAACCAAGGAATGGAACCGTCTCGGGGATGCAGCGATGGGACCGGTTCGTGTGCGAGTGCCAGATGGATGATTGCATCGCAAGATCGTGAAAGGTGGTGACGCCTTTGGCGAGGCCTTCATTCAGCAGTGGATCGATCATGGCTGATGATGATGACGACGTGAGAGCACGCCGCGGGCGGGAGCGGCTGTTGGAGGGGAGGGCGAGACGCCGCAGAGTGAGCACCAGTGCCAGAGGCGAGCCCAGCAGGAAGAAGTCGGACACCAGGAATTCGAGGCGAGGGGGAGCAGGGGCGGAGTCGGTCGCGCGAGGAACTGCTCCATCGCCGAGTCTCCACCTCATCCCGAGTGAAGCAGCCATGCACACTCCCACGAGACAGCAATTTTAGCCGGCATGCCGCGCGACCAGCGATAAATGTAGAAGTGTCGGTATGAAATATGTTCTATCTGCCGCCCGTGTTCACAGACACTCACTCGCTTACTTACGCGTTCCCTCGTCAAAAAGCAGTTGCCACTCACTCGAAGTAGCGGTGACATTACCATGGTGCATGCGCCAGGCTAGGTGCACTGTTAGGCCACGTGAAATTTTGAGGGCTCGCTGGCGGAGGTCACGGAACAGACCCAGGTGTTATGGATTGATTGGCTGAGATGACACGGATACACCACGTATGGACCCCACTGCCTACTTGCTGCGTTTTAGCCACCATACACTCCACTTATTATTGTGAATGTCACTTCTCTGCCCTCTATTGTTGTTGGAGGTAAATTGCCTCCAACTGCCCATGCGCGCCCTTCACGAGCCTCCTCCACAAAGGTCGATCTTGACAGCGCTGTTACCAGTTATCGTCAAGATCACTCAGGTCCACATCCTCCCCATGATGCACCTGTTCAGCTTCCTCCGATTAGCACGGTTGGCTATGTACGGTGAGAAAGAAGTTCAACATACCTACATACATATATGGCCAAACAGAAGTAGTTTGGGCATGCGGTGGCTGGATATGCAGGCTATATGAGCCAGCCATTTCACCCTTGCCTGTCAGATCTTTAAAGGATATCTGAGCTCCTCGCATAATCCAGTCTGGTTAATCCCAGGATGGATCGTAGGTAGGCCAACCTGAATATTTCAAACCAGCACAGATGTTTTTTTCAGACGGGTCCACGTTCGCAAGCATAGGGAAGGGAGGGCACAACTGTGGTCAAGAAAACCCGGAGCTTCGCACGGAACGACAGGTCAGGTGGCTTCCACACAATGTTACACAGCTGATGAAAATGTAATGCTGCCCGACTAATTCAGAGTGAGACCTCTGCTGCAAAATCGGAGCTGGTCATAAGCACATTGCCTATGTATGGAAACTTCACCACTCTCTCCACAGCATACCATTAAACACTCACGAACACGCTTCTATTTCCCCTCTGCAGAAACATCATAGTGTAGAAATAGGAACCATTCTAAAAAGTACCAGTATGTGTTTGGTGTTCTCAGAAGTTCTGCTATGGTGCACCATCATCTCCCGTCACATCTCCATCACGGCATGCAACCCATCTCATTCTAATATGTATTATAATAACAACAATTCAAAATATTTTACAAGCAAACGACACTTGCTAAGATACCTTGGCAACTCAAAGCGAATTACATCACATATCGTCTCGAATATTCGAAGGGGACCCTCAAAGGCAGCTGTCCTTTTGCTACACTATGTGACTTGCCACTGGCCTTCCAGTGGGCATTATTCTCCCAGTAGGAGATGATGTGGATTCTACGATTTCGAGTGCATGGTGGTCCGGTCCGTGGGTCTAGGAAGGCCGGCAACCGCCGCTTGCGTGGCTTTAGGGTTCATCGCGTGAACGGCACGTAGCCGCTGAGCCGTCGCGTCACCGTGGCATTCCGCGTACCTGGCGAGAGAGGCCTGGTGCAGGTGGAGGTGCCCCAGTGCCACACAGGGCCCGGGCCGCTTCCTCTCCAGCCGACAGGGCGGCAGGTCGCTCATGTTGACGAGCAGCTCTTGTTCACTGCGGCTCAGGCCTCGGCTGCTGGCCAGGGGGGAGCCACGGGCCTGGTGGCCGTGAGGGCAGCTGAGAGGCTCTCCAGCCGGCGATGCTGGGTTACTGTCCTACGTGCCACCAGCAAGGGAGGATGGACCAAGCGACTGCACTGTTACCTCAAAAGTACAAGTCCTATGCCTGGCGCTCTATATACTGTGACGTGCATGGCAAAACTGTTCAAAGGAAGCGTTTGGTAATACATAACACAAACATAACAATGAATCAACCCAACTCTACTGAACAGGCACTGAATGTTGAACCAGTCTATAGTGTGCTTGTATTGAACCCATATTGTGGATAATATGCACTCCTAGAAGGCTATGTGGCTGATGGGATTTGTAAACAATACTTTATTTACGTGGCGAGATAAATGTGGGAAGGAGGCATATTTGCTTATGTATTTTGTTACCCGTGGAAATGGATTACTATTAATTAGAACTTAATTAGTGCTGGATGCCGTGTCGGGCATGGAGATAGTTTCACCACACTTCACCACTCTGGTCATCCAGGATGTTCGTGGAGAATAACAGGACCAGTTTAGAAATAACTTGCCTCTGATGTCAGCTAGAGCCGGGAATCAAACTCAGGTCACTAGGTTACAGAGAAGTGCACAAAACCACTGCACGAAGAGCATTTGCTGCACATAACGAGTGTATGTCAGGAAACTCGGCTAGGTGCTCTTGACACTCAAAGTGAAAATACAGTATGTTGAAAAGGCCTGCTTGGTGATTTGCGAGAGTAATTTTTTTTGTCTGAAAACATGTTGAGCGCGAGACTAAGCTATCGTACCGAGTGCTCTTAAAGCTTCCCTGTCGGCTGCTGTCCCAGCTGTCGCTTGGTGCCCGTTTGCTCCAGCACAGGGCATCGAACCCCATGATCCCACCCACGCCGTCTCCCACCAAGCACACCTGCCAGGAGACATGCGCACGGAACATGTGACCGCAAACGCATACACACCAATGCGATGTTGGTCATCGTGAAACTGTTCTATTTCTTAGTTATTTCATGAAGACTTTTTTCAGGAGGGTCCTGCTAAAATCGTTTCAGTAATGGGTGACGATTGCTATGTGTTTCTTAATTAAGTACGTTTTAGAGTAATTTTTACAATATAGCAAATGTATACCACGATGCCAGCACACAGCGGCCTACCTACTCTTTTGTTGAATGACGTCACGTGACCTTTTAACGTCCACTGTAAAGCAGATGCCGCGTGGTACGTCATCGTTAATACACCAGGGTGGCCTCTGGGCTCGAACCATAAACCTCTGCAGCAGCCAATGAACGCGCTATCACCGGGCCGCGTCATTGCCCCAAACAATAACCCACAGTAGTAGAACGTGGCGCTGGCGGCTGGAAAAAAAGAGGTAGCAGCCGAGGCATCATTGCCAGCTCGATGCGTACTCCTGAAGGAGGTTTGCCACATGATGTTGCTTTGTACACTGGAGTATGTTGTTTTGATGAAGAAGTCATGATGGCCAAAGTCACTGCTGTTGTTTCGTTATACTCATTTAAACACGAGCCTTCCCTGACCACTTTCTGACTGTGAGCCGCTCGCTCTACCGCTGAGCCACCTGGCCGGTTTGCATCATACCACGTACTTATTCAATTGGATCTTACCTTTATTTGCTTTTGCTGCTCCTGTTACTTCGGTTGCTAACTCATCATCAAACACCCTTTATTGACTCCCCCTTCTCTCCCATGCCTTTCCTCCACACTTCTCAATGATGTCAGTCTCGTACCTGTCCTTCTATGCCATTCGTATCCAGCGACCTGCTGTCCCTGTACTGTCCCTGTATTTATTTTCATTCCTCATCCCTTCCCTTGACGTTAAAACCCACTAATATTTCCCTCCCCTTCATGAAGGTGCCATCTGCTGACCTTCCCTTGAAATGCAGTGCCCTCGGAGGAGGAGAGGAAGGCGCGGTGAGCGTGGTTGATCCGGTGGATCAGAGTGCTCACGGCCTCCTGGTAATGGGGGCTGGATGTCGCCAGGAGCGGCAGCACGGACAGAGACGCCGGGGCCGAGTTGCTGGGCTCACAGCTCGCGTCAGAGCCGTGCGGACTCAGTCTGCACAGAGAGAGGAGGAGGCCCCTCACATGTCTGTGTGCACCAAGCAGCGATGTCATGGTGGGGATGGAGGGATTTCCCTGGCTCTGCTTTTTTATATCCCGAGGACTGCACTCTCAGTTGTGATCCCCAGATAGGGGCAATGTATCCACCCGCAATCTGGATTTTTAAAAATTCATGAACAGTGCCAGAGTTGAGCCTAATTAGTACTCGGATCGGTGACTATTTGGAAGCAGCGGGTGATGTAAAGTTCGGGCAAGGATTGCCGCCTCTCCAGGGTTCCACCCGGACCATGCGGGAATTGGCGTCGGTGTTCGGGTGGCAGGAATTGATTTGGTACTGGTGTTGTGGTGAATTGTATTACCGTGTACTGCAGTTTTAATAGACTTAGACTGAGTAATATTGTCTGGGTTTGTTTTGTGGAAAATATGGTAACCCGTGTTGGAGCTCGTTACACAGTGGCAGGAAGATGGAAGTACAGCAACGGATTCTTGAACCTCCCTGTCGGGGGCTTGGAGCCTCACCCCCTCCTCTGCGTGCTGAGCTTTCTCAGGGCTCTCCGGTGTCTTGCCGCAAGAATCTAAAATCTCATTATCAATTCGTCAAACATCCCAGTGCAGCAGCGCCCCTCCTTGAGAGGCTTCCCAGTGTGAAATGCATTTCGAAGACATTCCGGAAAGATCACCTGTCATTCTTTCAAGTATTATTTTCAGCTATTTTTATAAATCTATGATCGGATGAAGGACTCCTCATGGCGTGTGTTTTTTTTATTTTGACCATAATTCACCGCGCTGGTCAGTGCACGTTGATGATACCTTTATATGTTATCCTGCACTACTGGAAATTTGATAACGCGCACCTTGGTGTGAAATCTTACTTATAAATGAATTGTTTTGTCTGTCTGTCTGTCTCTGTGTCTGTCTGTCTGTGTACGAAACTTGCGAAGGATTTTGCTCGCAAACCGTGGGGTTGACGTTTAAAAAAAAAAAAGTAGCCGGGTACCACGCCATAAGCCCCGTGGTGAGCCAGCACTCTTCCATTTTCCCATACGTCAACTTTAAAGTAGTTAAATGAACAATTTAGCGCTATTATTTATTTATTTCATTACACCGCTCAGCGCGCGCCAAAGCACGCATTTGCGCATGCGCGACAAAGTTGACCGTTCGTTGGGAGGGGGGGGGGGGAATTATCTTTCGCGTTAAAAATGCAAAAGAAATAAACACAATGCCGAGGTCTATTCTTCAAAGTGTCATGTCCTCTTCTCCCCCCCCCACCCTAATGTGTGCACTTACTACTATAGGGTCGGTAGATACTAATATTATAGCTCTTAGATACGATTATTGTAGAGCGGGTGGGGGGGATGGTGTGGGGGGCGGGGGTAGCGGCCCAGCCTGCCAAGGTGCCACCTCGGCCAGCTGGGCAATCTAGGCGAGGCTGGGGGCTCTGCACGGGACTAGGCCTCACGACAGACCTCTGTCAAGTTATTATTTTGTGCTATAGAGTCGATATATACTGCTATAGAGTCAGCATGTACTACTGCAGTGATAGCAGGTACCACCACAGTCAGTATGCACTGCTGTAATCATAGCAGGTACCAGCACAGTCAGTATGCACTGCTGTAATCATAGCATGTACCACCACAGTCGGTATGCACTGCAGTAGTGATAGCAGGTACCACCGCAGTCGGTATGCACTGCTGTCATGATAGGTACCATCACAGTCGGTATGCACTGCTGTAGTGAAAGCAGGTACCACCACAGTCAGTATGCACTGCTGTAGTGAAAGCAGGTACCACCACAGTCACTCTGCACTGCTGTAGTCATAGCAGGATACCACCACAGTCAGTATGCACTGCTGTAATCATAGCAGGTACCACCACAGTCGGTATGCACTGCTGTAGTCATAGCAGGATACCACCACAGTCAGTATGCACTGCTGTAATCATAGCAGGTACCACCACAGTCGGTATGCACTGCTGTAGTCATAGCAGGATACCACCACAGTCAGTATGTACTACTGTAATCATAGCAGGTACCACCGCAGACGATATGCACTGCTGTAGTGATAGTAGATACTGCTTTCGAGTTGATAGATATTACTATATACTTAGTAGATACTAAAACAGTCAATATATACTACTACGGTCAGTAAATACTGCTACAGTCAGTAGATACTACTATACAGTCAGTAGATACTACTATACAGTCAGTAGATACTACTATAGAGTCGGTAGATACGACTGTAGGGACAGTAGATACTAATGCGGTCAGTAGTTACTACAGTCAGTAAATACTACTATACAGTCAGTAGCTACTACTGGCTCAGTCGATACTACTGTACAGTCAGTAGATACAACTACAGAGTCAATAGATGCTACTTAACTTGTTGTATGTAGGGTGTGTAGGTATATATACCTACACGGGGGTAAAAATATTTTTTGAGGGGGGGGGTCAACATTTTTTGGAAACCTTTTATATCAACTATTTACCCCCCACTTTCTATAACTTTTTGGACTTCTGCAAGCCTCTTATAATTGTGTTAGTGGAGAAATGGACAAACGGCCCACCAGGCTTTCACAATAGCTTAGTATCTGTGTATGTATATGTAATGTTTTTAAGAGAAGTTTTGAAATTTATTTTTCGCCCGGGCAACGCCGGGTACTTCCCGCTAAATATATCTGTGAAGGTACACACATTTGTCATTTTAACTATTGCAAATAGACATAGTATTCAGTGCAAACACTACAGTAAATAAAGGAAGCTAATACGGTAAGAATGACAATCCATTAAACGTACACACTTACATAAAATGGTTCATTGACTATGGGTGTTGAGTAAATTTGTTTCATGGAATATCACTTAGCGTGGGCTGTTTGCTGAGTAATTGTTGGAATGACTCACTGTATAGGATTGTTTTGTTTGTTCTTTCCAAATTATTTTATAATTACGCAGCGTCACACATCGAGAGATGAAGGATTCCGTCGGAAACTCGAAACAGATTTTTTCCACGGAGTGGAAAATCCTTCACTTCGGCTTTCTGTTAACCCAGTACTTGCAACGTTAACATGCGCACGCGAGCAATGGTGGGACAGCGATGAGGGCTCACTGCGTAAGGATGGCAAAGGCGCTGGCGCAGATGGGCGGACACGGCACTGCCCTCACGCTCACGCGCCCCACGGCAGCCGGGAAGTGTGCCCTGCTCACGGCGTCGATGGCCGAGTGCAGGCTGAGAGCGTCCTTGTGCGCGCACCGCGCCTCCGCACCGCCCGCCTGCGCCGCAGCACCGCTGCCGGAACGACCGAACCTGGCCTCCGTCACAAACGGCGCCCTGTCCCTGGACGATGACCGCGCTCCGAGGGCGCCCGTGAATTTTGGCTCCTGGCCGTTGCCGTGCAGCACCAGCAGCAGCACGCGAGGCTCCGTGGCCCACGCTTCCCCTCTCCTGGACATACCTTCCTGCGACAGAAAATGGGTACTGTCCCATAGGTCACTTGTAACACCGTGCATACAAATGTAAATGTTTGTGTGCAGCACAGCCATCGTCTGACTTTCAATGGTACGCTAATACAGCAAGCGGATTAATTTCAATCTCTACGGCGATTGAGCGTTACCCACCTCGCGCACGTCGGTTTTCTCCTGGTACTCCAGTTTCCTCCCACAAGTATAAAAAACGTGTTCATGGAGTGGGCCAAACATCCCAATATAGGACCACAGAACCTGGTAATTGTTGGTTGCGCAGGATGTGGCTACCTCGCTGCGTGTGTCCATGGTTTTCCCATGCCTCCAAGCGACAATTGTGCAGATTACAAATTCTAAAGAGTTTTCAAGATGCGGTTTGCATGAATGGTGCTATGTGCGATACATTATTATTCTTGTATGTGAGGTTGTTAAAGGGTCGTTGAAGTCTGATTCGTGTCGCTGGGTCCCTGTTTTATTCCTGTTTCCAGTAGAGTCAGTCTCGTGCTGCCAAAAGGGCTATGGCTGAATGGAGACGTGCCGCATTTTTTTCAAGCAGACATCTTTCATTAAAAGTACAATCATTGTAATCTTAGAAATGAGCAGTAAGATGGCTTTTGGGTCGACTGGGGAGTGCGAAAAATAAAAAAAAAGTGAAAGTACAGGGCCAGACAAGCATCATTACCTCTTCATCTTGGCTCTCCACACTTATCTGCTCGGGAAATGTGGACGTTTCCAAAGAGATCGTGGACATATCACCTGCAACGTCAAAAGCAAGCAGTGCTGCAATGAACAGGACCATTGCCGACGCGTTTATGAATTATTGGCGCAATAAAATGGACAGCTTGTTTTCACTGCACTGCGATTTATAAATCCTCAAAATTAGATGACATAATTAGGGAATGAGCTTTTCAGAATTACATAAGAGTATAGCTCCATTTATTATAATAGTCTATTATTGGAATGCTAAACAGTAAATTACATGTTTAATTAGGATTTTAAAAATGATTAATTAAGTATCTGAAGAATTATATTTTGTAAGTGTGTCTATAGGCATTGCTGCAATTGTTGAATCGAAGCTAAACTTTTAAAAGTAATACACATATTAAAGCCTCATAAATTTTGCCAGTCATTGCTATGTTTAATACCGTAAAAAATAATTCATATTGTATAAGTTTCTTGCTACTGAATAGGCCAACGTGAATTTCCGTGTCAAGTTATCATCTGTTGTAACACATGGATTGGAAACACGGACACTGAGAAATAGAAGATAAGAGATGTTGCATACTAGGAATTACACTGCAAAACAGAGAGATGAATACATGGATCAGAGGACAGATGCAAGGATATATGGGTTTTGGCAGGACGCATCACTGGAAGGGATGATGGCTGATGAAAGAGTCTGGTGATGGATGACAGCCAAAGGAGATAACATGCTTGAGAGAACGGGAACCTTGGAGATGGAGTAACGATGTTCCTGCCCAAGATGGCAAAGAAGTTCGGGAGCTAAATCTCAATGTCGAGGTCTGCCAGCCACGAGAGGGCTTCAGGAGAGAGTGTAGTTGTTGCTGTTCCTCCGCTGAAGGAGCCACAGACTGCAGTGGTTTACTATATGGTGCATAGTTCGGGTTGCATAGCCACAATCACACTTCTGTGGCTTGTCTTTCATATTCCATTCATGAAGGAGATGTGCACATAAGCCTGTTGATGTTCTGATGCGGTTAATGTACACCAGCGTCTTTGATAGAGGAATGTCAAAGCCAGGAGGGTTGCGATGTTTGGATCTCGAATGAGGTGTTTATTCTGGACATCCGCATTGTACCACTCTGTTCGCTTGAGCGTTTATTACAGATTTCGGGGGATCGGGACTTGAGTCTGTGGTGAGGGACAGTGTTGAGGTCTTAGTTGATGGTTGCCGTTGGCAAGAAGACGTGTCAACTACCTTTGTGGATATTTGGTGGTAGAATTATTCGCCAGAACAAGGGAGCCCAGGAATTTGCGTTGGTTTTTCATTGTTACGGTTATGATATACGCATTGCATTATTGAATTGTGCGTGTAGAAGTTTTGTATGCGAGGTTTCGGACCAGGCTGGAGCGCAGTGACTCTACCACTGAGTAGATCAGTGATTGGGTGGCAGTTCACACCACATCAGCTGAGGTGCCCCAAATAATTCCTGCAAAGTTTCTGAGGCAGGGTGATTCTTGATTCGGTGATGGAGCGAAAAGATCCTCTCATGTGCAGAAGCGAGATAGATTGTGGCATCGTGGAACCTTGAGTCATAATAACAACATGTACAGCGTTTCATCCAGCAGTGGATAAATCATGAATGATGATAATAATACATCTAATCTCAATAGTTTGTGGACATTACTCCTGAGCTCACTCTATCAATGTGAATGTACACTTCACATGACGCCCTCATTTATTTTGGAATCTAAGCGTCTGCATTTTCTTCATGTAAATGCAAATCTGCACTCATGTAATTGTTCATCCCATTATCCAACTCAATATAATGCAATGTTGCATGTTTTTGTCGATCTTGTGAAGGGGATGCTGACTCGATGGTAAAAGCCAGAGACACACGTTGGTTTAACGCTATCCCATTGGGTTATTGTGAGCAGCAATGCATTCATTCATTCTGCTTGCTATTTAGTATTCATTGTAACTCAGTGGCAATGCATAACTAATGTGGTGACCATACGAGCTCTTTAATGCATTTGCAAGATAATAAAAACCTGTCCTAACTCTCGTTGTAACTGCTGTGACTAATGACACTCATGTGTACTGTGCTGTATTGTATTGCCAACGAACTGTGTTCCTGCATGTTTATGGAATTGCATTTCGTTTTGTTTTACAAAGTTGCTGAGCATAGGCCCAAGTGCTCAAAATGCAAATTTGCCCGCAATAAACAGCCACCGTGAAAGTTCTACACAATCGCTAAGGGTGCAACGCGTTTCCTGAATTGGAGGTTATTCTAAGAGCCTGGGAAAAGGAGACAATGGATGGGACGGGATTGCAGCGTGGAGCAGTGCAAGGAAAACATTAGAAAGATAATTATTGACGTGACCTGCAGTGTGGTGGCTCAACACAGTGTCGACGAACCAACCAGTCTGATAGATCGAGTCCTCACCATGGGGTGGAGGAATCAATAAGTGAAATTCAGGGGCACAATAACCGTGGTAGTATTGAGGTGACTGATCACTGCTGAGCGAGTGACTGGAGTGCATTGATGAGGGCTGGATTCTGGCATTCGGAGAAGGAAGTTCCTTGTGTCTACAACTATAGATATGGTTTGCATTGCCAGCCCAGCACTGGGTCATGCCAGCGGAATAACAATGAGAGAAGTTTGCAGCATCTGCTTCAAATGAGCACTAAGGCGGTGCTCATCTCCCGTTTACAGCCCTGTACCAGCGGTGGAAATTCCTTCGGTGAGAATTTCACAGTTCCCATGGTGGAGGCGAGTCTCAGCATGGGTTACATCTTTGAACGTAATAATTAATGCAAAAAATGCAACAATGCTTTATCATCCTACCATTGAAACAAAACAATCTGCATATTATATATATATTTTTATAATCTCAGTTAACCACAATCCATTTTTTTAATCAAGGTAAGTATTGCAGTGTACTCGAGCAACAGCTGGGAATAAGATTAGGAAATGCAAAGGCGACAGTTTTTTTGTGTCGTGTACACTTTTAACTAAGCACTGTACGTGTCTGTAATGGTTATGTTTCGTGTCTTCAGTGACCGGTAAAGGTGGCGGCTTGCAGGGAGGAAGGAGGATGCGGCATGCGCTGTCATCCCAGCAACAAAAGTACCGTGCACCCACTCCGTGGTACACCTACCCGGAGCGTCCAGAAACTCCTCATCCGAGCTTGCGTCGGCTTCCTCACTGAGTCTCTGCATCTGTAGCTCTGGAACGGCAAAGACGGCGGACGTCACTGAGTAACGTGACAGAGGAGAAGCCGCTCCTCCGCGTGATGTCAAAACCCACACGGGCCGCTTTATCGCCGCGCAAAGGCAGAGAATGCCGCAGCCTCTACCGTGCCCGCACGCCAAGTGCAGTTTCCATCACGAGGGGCATCATGCATGATGCATGGATATGGTTATTTTTATCTGAGCCCTCTTCCCATACGTAATGTGTTTTAAATCTAACGCTGCCCACAATGCTGCGTGTGGGTGTGTGCACTATCTGCACCGGTTGTGTTTTTTGTTGTCAATATATCCTCACAGCAACATCATTGTAAGCTATCATAAAATCTTGTGTTAGGAATATACAAATGAGTCGAGATCGGGATATTACCTTGCATATTTACATGGGTGAATACCAAAACCACGAATGTAAAAAGAATTACAAGATTCCAGGATTTCACGACAGAAACTGGTTTTCTTTCATGAAATTCGGATTAGTTAAATTCATCACCCAATGTCTGTGCACACGAATGTATTAACACAATTATATATATTTAAAAAATCGTTATCATGTTATTGACATTTGTATGTTGTTTTGATAACGCATATGTAATGACTGAGGATTATGAATCCAGTGCACTGTGCGTTTGCCGCAGTGCGGAGCAGTATTTCTACACTTGTTACTGATTTCTACTTTCACTGACACAATCCTTTAAGTAACCAATGGAATCTTAACTTTGCATTGCATCAAAGAAGTCCCAGTCACAGGTTTACATGTTTAGGGACAGTGCGGAAAGAGAGAGATGGTGTGTGGGTGGAGATAATGAGGGGATAGGGACAGTGCGTGGCCAGGTGGTCACGAGGGATAATTACAGGAGGGAACCATGGGGGGATGTTCGGGATTGGCTGAGACAGTTCGGGAAAGAAGGCGTGGCCGGGGCGGGGCGAGGCCACGCCGGGGGGAATATAAGGCAGAGGCTGAGAGAGCTCGAGGCTGCCCTGGGATCGGGATGGACCGTCTTCACGCCGCCGTTGTCTTCGGGCCGTCGCTGTCTCTGTGTCGTCGCTGTCTCTGTGCCGTCGCTGTCTCTGTGTCGTCGCTCTCTCCATGCGGTTCTTGCTTGGGTGCTGTCCTAGCTCAAGTATCTGTCGTTATCCTAGCCCAAGTATCTGGTGTTATTCTAGCCCAAGTGCTGTATGCTAGTCATAGCTAAGTACTGGAGGATATGAGAGTACGTTATTTGCGTGACGCGCCCTAATAAATAAAGAAGACAGAAGTTGTCCGAGAGTCATTACAACTGGTGTCAGTAGATGTCGAGATACTCAAGAAAGAAGAACCCACGCGTCAGATTCCGATAACCGCGTGGGCGACCATCGCCCACGCCGCAGAGACTGCGTGGTCAACGGCCGCCATTTTCCCGGTGGGGGAGGGGGCGCGATCAGCGGGCGCAATTTTGCGACCAACTGCGGCTCCAGATCCATCCCCGATGGGGCAGCAATGGGCCAATTAAGGAGGCTGCCCCCTGTCAGGGAGTTTGTGGCAGCAAGGGGCGATTGGGCAACCTTTAAACGGCGGTTCGAAGAAGCGTTCTCCTCGGTCAAGTGGACGGAGGATGAGGCCTTGCGGGCCTTACCCACGGCCTTAGATGACGCTCTTGCAGCATTCCGAAATTTTTGCAACGGAGGCAAAGGGAGACCGAGACGCCCCTCGCTTAGCGCAGTGCACTGATGGCGCTGGGGCAGGCGGCATACCCGCGTATGGATCCGGTGGCGATTGACTCTTTAATGATGGAGAAGCTGTTGGGGTTGGCCCAAGAGAAGGGGGTTGTGCTGCCCATTGTCGAAGAGGAGACACAGATATCCCTGTGGATGACCAGATGCCTGCAGGCCCATGAAAATGTAACCTGATGAACCCCGGTGGCAGCGTGGTGGTAGGCCATGCCGACCCGCCGACCCGCCGGGCAGCCAAGAGTGGGCGGCGAACCCTGGTGGAGGAGGAACCGGAGCTGCAGAGGGAGATGGCAGCGGCGATGCAGGGATGACTTTGGTGGCGAGGGGACACCCCGCGACGACCTCGGGGTTGGGTCCCCAGGGGAGACGCGACCCTTCCGCCACGAGTTTAGGTTCCAAGGGGAGAGGTGACCCCTCCACCACAAGGTTAGGTCCCCGGGAGAAGGACGATCTCTCCACCTCACGGACCCTCCATCTCCTGCTTCCGGTGTGGATGACCGGGACATATCACGCGGGGGGTGCCAGAGTGATGTTTAGCCCTCGACGTCCTTCTCGACATCCACCAGCCCGCCGACGATCCCGTCCAGCCCCAACAGGCAAGTCGCAGCACACCGGACACTTGGCCCGTACCACCACCACCTCACATCCTGATTGTCATGTAATTCATCGGTCAATCTTGCCTCCCCTTCACCCGTTGGGGTACGCGAACAAGGGGGTCAGAATATGGATGGGTGACCAAATTCCTTTACTCAGTGGAGGAAATTGGCGCGTCGAGTGGTAGCAGCTGGGGCAGGGTCATCGGCAATAGTTGGTTCCATTCAGGGGGTAGAGGTGCGGGTCTTGGTTGACACAGGGGCCTCGGCTACCATCATTTCAGACGTTATTTATAATTTGTTGCCCCTAAAAGATCATCGCATTTTTGCCAGTGGAAACGCGTGTGTTGTGGCTAATGGGGGGAGTATGGGCATTTTGGGATGGATAGAGGCATGTGTGAGAATAGGGGAATTAGAAGTGTCATGGCCCATGTTGGTTTAAGAAGACGGATTTTTTGGGAAGGATGCCCTTGAAAATTTTAATAGATCAACGCTGTATTGAAATGCCGTTGGGACAGCGTTTGTTATTTCTGAATGCCCCACATGGGAAACCAGTTGCAAATGCCCTGGTTCAGGCCTTGGCAAATAAATATATACAGATTCTGCCAGGTAAGCAAATGTTGATTCCCCTGCGCTACCGAAAACGCCTCCAGTTGGCTGACCCCTTTTGACTCCATCAAACACAGCAACCTGAGGACTCGCGTTAGTGGGGGCTGAGACAATCGTTCGGGGAAACCAGCAACCCTTCCTACAGGTCCTGAATGTGGGCCTGGGAGTGGCTGTGGTTCAGGCAGGGGGAGTGTTGGCTCACGCAATGGCAGCATGCTGCGGGGTTGTTGACTCGGGGGCAGTTGAGGTTGTGGCCGCGATGCAACAGCGAGCGGAGCCAGAGGGGACATGGATGGAGGAATTATGTAAGAAGAACCCTGATTTGTCCCATGCACAGCGGACCAAACTTCGGTCGTTGTTATGGGAGTCCTCCGACGTTTTCAGTGAAGGGAAATTTGATATCGGGCGTTATAATTTGTTGCAACACCACATTGATGCGGGTGATGCTGCTCCTATTTGGCAGAATTCATATCGAATGAGTCCTGTTGAAAAGGAACATGTACACCAGGCGGGAAGGGAAATGTTGGCCGCGGACATAATTTCATCTTCAATCAGCCCCTGGGGAGAACCCCATGTTATTCGTTAAACAATATGGCAGCCTGCGCTTTTGCGTTGACTTCCGCAGATTGAATAAGGTTTCGGTGGCAGGTGCATACTCGCTGCCACGTATGAATGATTCCCTGGACGCGTTGGCGGGCGCTGGTTTTTTTCCACTCTGAACCTACTGTCGGGATTTTGGCAACTCCCCTTAGACAAATCGTCCAAGCCTAAAACGGCGTTCCGCACACTCCAGGGACTGTTCCAGTTTAATTGCCTCCCTATGGGATTACATTCAGCCCCGGCTTTATGGAATTGATGTTGGCAGGATTACAATGGGACTCTTGTCTTATTTATTTGGATGACATCATCTTTGGTCGACCATTCGATGAGCATTTGAAGCGGTTGCGGACGGTGCTCTCTAGGGTATGGGCGGCGAACCCTAAGTTAAAATCTGCTAAGTGCCATTTGTTGCAGACTTCCGTGCAGTATTTGGGTCATATTGTCAGTGCGAAGGGTATCGCGACAGATCCGGATAAGACTGCGTGTGTGTGTGATTGACCAACCCCTAAATCGATAGGCGAGGTGCGCAGTTTTGTAGGCTTTGCATCGTACTACTGGAGGTTTGTTCCGCAGTTTGCGACGATTGCTAAACCCTTGCATACCTTGAAGGGTAAGAACCAAGAGGAGGAGGCCGTGTTCGCTGCATTGCGCGATTGCCTTTCCAACGTGCCTCCTCTTGACTATCCGGACTTTTCCCTGCCGTTCATACTGGATACGAACGCTAGTGACATGGGTGTAGGAGCTGTCCTGTCCCAGGTTAAGAACGGGGTGGAAAGGGTAATTGCATATGGAAGCCACGTCCTATCACCCGCGGAACAGCGTTATTGTGTCACCCGTAGAGAATTGTTGGCTATAGTGTACTTTGTCCAACAGTACAGGCCATACCTTTATGGCAGATAATTTGTGGTCCGTACGGATTACGCAGCCCTCCAGTTCTCCTCTGGCCAGCTCTCTCAGTGGTTAGAAATACTCCAAGAGTATTCCTTCCGCGTGGTTTACCGCCGGGGTGTGAGGCACTGTAATGCCGATGCGTTGTCGCGCTTGCCATTAAATGACCTTTGTGCATGCTCGTCAGGTGCGGGCCGGTGCAGATTGCTTGGGGGAGGGTCAACTGGGGTCGTAGTGGCCTCAGGTGACCCGCCACTCGCCGTAGTAGACGCACATAAGGACGACATGCTGGGCCTCACGCGGGCAAAATGGGGCAAGTTGCGAATGGAGGATGTCTCCCTCTTGAACTTACGACGCCGCGTGGACCTTGATCAGAATAAACCCTGCTGTAAGGGGATCTCCCGGTTTGTTGCTTATGCGGTGGCATGAGGTTTCGGGCAGATTATGTATCATAGTCCCCAGAGGCCTGCGAGGCAGGTTGACGCGGGCAGTGCACGCTGACAAGCTGATGCAACTTGGGCACTGGAAAACCTTGCTCACAGTGCAAAGAGATTTATATTGGTTAGGGATGTCTAATGATGTCTTCCATTTCATTAAAGGTTGCACTGATTGTGCGTGTCGCAAGCTACCAGCGAAAAAAATTGAACCCCCTGCATTAACGAATTGGTCGCGCTCGATATCCTGGGGCCCTTTCCGACTACGCAAAAGGGAAATAAATGTATCCTTGTTGGGGTTGAGTATTTTTCTCGGTGGCCAATGGCCTGGCCATTGCCCGACCAAACAGCTGTATCCATAGCCGATGCATTTTTGCACGGCTATGTGATGCATAAGGGGGCTCATGAGCAGCTTCTCACAGACCAAGGCCGAAATTTCCCCTCAAAGCTGCTTCGGGAAGTGTGCGATGTATTGGGCACAAAGAAGTTCAGAACATCACCATACCATCCCCAAATGGATGGTGTGCTGGAACGTCTGCACCGGACCCTAACATCTATGCTGTGTCAAGTCGTTAACGAGGCACAAACGGACTGGGATTTCCATGTCCCGGGTATTTTGGCAGCGTACAGGGTGGCCCCACACACCTCATGTATGGCCGGGAGAACGAAGCCCCTATTGAGGTGCAATTAGGGTTGGCCTTGGGGAAGAAGGGAGCGGCCATGCCCACCTCCTTGAAGATCACGCTACGTCGTGTCTCGGAAGCTCGTGAAGCGGCCAGAGAAAACGCATAGTACAGACTAAATCAGCTCATGCGCAGGTGTCGGATGGATGTTGCATCGCAAGATCGCGAGAGGCTGGAACGACTTGGGGAGGCCTTCGTTCAACAGTGGATTGAGCACAGCTGATAATGATGGTTAATCCATTCTCACATTATAATTGACAACCCTACTTTACCAAGCTGGTCAGGACAGGTTGGTGAAGGGGGTGCCCAGGTCCGGTTCAAATTTCACTCAACACTGATGTTAGCCGAACCTAGGTTGCTGGGATTATAACATGGTGCGCTAACCACTGCGCCACCACTCCACCCCACATATTAGATTTAGTATTATTTCTCATTCAAAATTATAATACTTTCAAACGAACGAAGCAATTGAAATAATACAGGAATGGGGGTCTCTTTCTCATGAATATCCAGGGTTAGTAAAACGGGAATAGAATAAACTCGCTCCAAAGCACATGTCATTACAACTGGCAATAATTAGGAGACTTACACTCTTACACTGTAAACATGGACTGCAAGGTAGTCATCGCCACATGTGGATGTCACTGAACATAGTTGTGATGCGTACACATTATCCGTGCTGGTCATGCTCCTGGAGGGTTAATTATTTGAGGTTTTCCATGCAGATGTGATAAGATCAGCAACACAACGCCATCAATCCCTACTTGTAGTGTGTGCGTGTAGCCTTCGTGTACAAACATGCTTAATTGTGGACGTTTTTTTATGATGCGAATACTTTGTTCAATTGACGTTCTCTCTTTGTTTCCCACAATGACAAACTGTGCACCAGCCATGCTCTCCACCAACACACGACGTGCATCTGTATTCCACCGCAATACGGAGACTTTCATTCTAGCCACAATTCACGGAAAGGAAACGCAACGCCCTATGAGAATACACAGGTTACATCATTGACTCATTTCTGCCGCAGCCGACTGTGAAACCTGACGTTGAACCCATCCTCGTCGATGACCATCGCTGCTCGTAACGTTTGTGGCGTCGTCGCTTCGTCGATGCAGAATTCCGCTGCACCCCGTCCGCGATTTTTTGTGCGCGTCCCTGTGCGTTGTGGTGCAGCCATGTGCGGCACGCCGAGTGTGCTTTGCTTGAGGTTTTCGTTGTGATATAGATCTTTATATTCATTGCAATATGTGAGTTTCCAATACAATGTGTCGTGCTGTAACACCTCGTTGTACAAGCTTACACGGATTCAACACGTTAGCCATTGAGCAGCTAAAGTCGCCGATTTGAGAAAAAAAAAGTCACGTGTGTAACTTAAAGGTACAAATCGGAGAAAATGTCAAATTTGGCGACGGCGCTGGACGATGACATTCGAGGGATGAGCGATGCAAAATTGCTCCGCAGAAAACCTCGGCGCCCTTCAGCCGCACTCCCCCTGCCCCCGTGGACAGATTGACCGGTCTCACGGAGGGCCATAGACGGCAACATTCTCACGGCGTGACAACTCATTCAAAGATCGTGCCTCGCATAATGTACGCGTGGGTTTATACCAAATTCACAGCAGTTCCCTGTCGCACGGAATTTACAACAAGAAATCCACAACGCATCGATCGATATGTCTTATGTTATACCAACAAAAAATCCAGCGCTTACCTTGCCATAAAATATCGTGTGCGACCAATTACATCCAGCGTCTTTGTTTCCAAGAACAAGCCGAACGAAGAGCTGGGACGGAAATAGGCAGACTTGAGATGCTTGCGACGCCAGAGGACGAGAGAGAGAGAGGGACAATCGCTGCTCAGACTGTCGGGAAATGCTGCGACAGGCGATCCCAACTTGTCAGCAGCGCAGGCTCACCCAGGGAGGCTGCACTTTCTGCTCGGAGCCACTCTCCCACTAGATTCTGGCACATCCCGAGCGCATCGCCAAGGACTGAAGGCTCACGTTTTGTCCGCGAGCTGCTGCGGCTGCTGCTGCTATATTTAACCACTTGTGTTTACCAATGCTGTGTGCATGGCCACGCCACGATTCAGAACCTCCCCCACCACCACCACCACCCGTGCTATAGCATCACGCCCCCACGGGTGATGCCTGTGGGAATGCCACAGGTTTAACTCCTGATCTGATAATGTCACTCACACTGCTCGCATCGCCTCGTGTCACCTGCGTCGTATTTAGAAGAAGTAAAAAAAATGCTACAAAGTAATGGAGAGCGACTCTGTCATGGGCATGTGACCATCAATTGCATGGCTGGGTGCTAATGAAGTTCGCACAGCAGTAAAACATCGTGAACAACATAAACACGTTCTTTATGTCAGTATTCTATAGATCCTGTGCGATATACTTGCAGCGTTGTGTTTTCCTGAAGAGGCCAGTCCAGATGCAATTGTCTTACTTAGAGCAGGATAGACATGATTATGTACGAACATCGTTTAAAATGCGAATGTTTTACTATCACGTACAGTTGAAGGTATTTTAATTGTTTAAAACTAAACAAAGTATACAAAGAGAGAGAGAGAGAGAGAGGAAAACAACAGCGACGACACGTACTGTCATGCCAACATCGTTGTGGCCATTTTGTTCGCTTGATCAATCTTTCTGAGCTGTCGCAACTCGTGGATGGCGCTCGTGCACATCTCTCACGTTTGTAAGAAGAAGAAGAAGGAGGAGGGGAGCGACACGTGCAAGGAGCAGAGGGCAAGCAAGGAGAGGCCCTTTACCACGAGTGGTGGCGACAACAGCGAATGGTTCATTAATCATTGAGCTGCATTAACCTGTTGTTGTTTTTTTTCTATTGGATTGTTTTTTTCTCCCCCCCCCACCCCCCACGTTTCCGCAAATACTGCACTCAATCACCTTCAATGTTTTGAGTTTTCTTGCCGTGGACCGACCACCCGTGTTTGGCATGTGACCTGTAGGCATAGGTTGAAATGGAAATAAAAAAATGCAAACCAGTCTTAGTCCCTCGTTCTAAAGTTTAACATTTAAAATGTGTCCAAATGTGCTATGCGCACTGGCATGAGGTCATAGCTGTATGAGCCTTTCCCTTTCCTGTAGTCTGCAATTTCATAGCAGAGTTATCAGCAGCGACATGTTGGCCTCATAAACCCCCTATGGCTAAGAATCCAACAATTTGAAGATCAGAGCAGGGAATACTGATACATGTGACAATATTTTTTTTTCCTTTTGGGTTGCATATAATTATAATTTTAAAGTAATTATTCTTAAGTTGGGTAATTAGGAAATGTACAGGTTCCAGGTCAAAGTTATAGTTTAAATAACAATACAATCATAATCTTTATCTAGTTGAGCCTCAATTGGGTTTGTAATTTTTAAATCGTATCTTTTTAAATACCCAGGTTGCTGATCGTATTACAGCAGGTAATAAGCACTAATCTAAAACGTTCTTTCCTGTACACATCGGTATGTTGCTTTTCATTATCAAATTATATTCACTTCAACAAACGCACTCCAAATCGCTCTCGTTCTCCACTTTTTATCCAACTGAAATGGAAAATGAAACAAAAGCTGCTTACTATGCAAAGCAGCGTGCAGAGATGCATGCTGGGAATTGCACGAAGAGACAGGAAAACGATCACATGGTTCAAAGCACAAAGGGAAATTCGAGAAAAAAAAATTTTGTCCACACACATACTGGGGTTTTTTTTTTAAGGAAGGTGAACGAGGCTGGTGATGGAATGTCAGCCGGAGGAGAGACGGCGTGACTGACAGGATTATTCCCGCGGAGTTAAAGCCATACAATTAGCTCCTGCGCAGGTTCAAGACGGATTGTGGCATCGTAAGGCATAACGACAACGCGGGGAGCCTTCATCCAGCAGTGGCTAGATCATGGCTGAGGAGGATCACGATCATTCATCAAGCAATTTACATCTTCACGGATATTTTATTTTTAACAAGCCAATGTGTGCTATAAATGTCCATATGATAAGCCACTTTGCTGAGCTATCATTATTTATGGCCAGGTCGCTTCTGAAAAACGAGTTAATACCTCAGTAGGCTTCGTATGGGGATGGTTTAGTTTGAAAAATATGCCTCGGTAATTTATTTGATTAATTGAAGTCTGGTACAGACTCACCTTGCAATTTAGCAATCATGGGAGACTTCACCATTGTAATGATCTCATGTTTACCTTTCTTGTACTTTGCACTACTATCTTGTTTTTGTAACATTCTTACCTGGCCCGACTGGACATCTGTGAAAAAGAGATTTAGAGCTCATCGGATTAATCCAGTAAAAATACAGATTTTCTGATTCTGATGGTCTGTATTAGGTTTTATATTCAGTATATTTAAAGTAAACGTGCGAATCATATTTAGTCTGTGCTGCCTTATTGATATAACACGATAGCTTTATAGAATAAAACCAGTCTTCATATATTTGGGGTATCGCATTTAACTAACATGAGATCATTACAATTGTGAAGTCTCCCATGATTGCTAAATTGCAAGGTGAGTCTGTACCAGACTTCAATAAATCAAATAAATTAACGAGGCATATTTTTCAAATTTCAGTTGCAATGATGATTTCATGAAAATTATAAGTGGTACAATCATCATGACTTCTGCCGATGATTTATACTGGGATGAAAGCAGCTCCACATTTGAAAATGTGAGGTATTCCAATTGTGCTCACATACTGTTAAGGTCAAGTGAAAATGCGTAAAAGAAACCATTGCAAAAGGTCAGTGACTATTATTCCTCATGCAAGCCGGGGGAAATTGATATTTGAAAAAAAGTTATTGTTCGTAACACATGCTGTTATGGTTTACATTCGGCTGGCATCGGGGTCGCCAGCATTCTTTACAGCCGTTCTATTACTGCTACATGCATGCCGGCGTTTTCTGTAGTGCTTAGCTGCAGAAACCCCCTTATTTTCAATGAACGCGACAAATCACAAAAACACCATAAACGCCCACTCCAGTTGCCCTTCCAGCCGCCGCGATGGGTTAACCAGCTCAAGAATGTAAGTGCTGCTGATGGATCTCAGGCCGAAATAGGCATCGTGCTGCACGAGGCCTATAGTTGTTGTCATGTTGGGCATGATGTGTGTACGTCTGCTCACCAACCCATTCGTAACCACCACCACCGTTAGGCGGAGGTGAGATTTTCACGGGTGCGATTTGTCTTAATTGACACTTGTGTAGCCGGGAAGGCCGAGCTCAGTCTCTGAAGGTTTGTTTCCAGGAGGGTCCTATTGAGTGTTGCTGCGTGTAATTCCCATTTAGTGATTTGCAGTTGATTTTTCAGCACTGGGATGTTTGACCAATCCCAGTTATAGTCTTTGGGGGGGGGGGGGGGGGGTTAAGAAGTAAGCCGGAGAACAGGGGAATGGCATCCAAACTCCGCACAGAAAGGCGCCAAAATTTGGCAATTAAATCCAGGATCTTCTTCTTGTGGTGCGGATGTCACTATTGCGCAGTCAGTTTTAGTCTGTTGATGGTCGGCGATGTGGCAATCGACTCATCTCGACGAGCTGTACACGATGCACCACCACCGCGGTGTGTACGAGCGTTCAGGGTTTCTGCGAAATCGTCCTCGCTGCGTTTCGACATCGCGGAGTGGCACTGATTTCAGATTGATTGGTACCCCAGTCGCGGAGTTAAGGACACCCCTGGGAAAAATAGTGTCCCAGAAATAAAACATTTAATTGCCTCGGCCATTTAGTATTATTTGGTACCCTGGGGTACCGCCGTAAGGATCATATGAAGTATAAAGTGAACCATGCGATCCGTTGCACTGCACAGCACGATGCCGGCTAACTGGAAGGATGCCCATTCATTTGGAGACACTGTGGATTTCCATCCTGTCATCCTCAACATTTCCCCAATTACAATGCCGCTATCTTTCAGATATTGTCGTTCACGTCGCACGGCAATGCCGTCGTGGCATATAGGATCTGACAACGGGGACAACTAGAACAGTGGGATACTCTGGCAAGCCAGGCCAGGTTGAAGACGATGGTGGCATATTGACTCAAAGACACAACACGGATGACACTGTTTGAAACAACATAAATCACGCGCATTGCCGGGGGCCCGTGTATTGCTATGGAAACGCACTGCACTTACTGTAATAAGGACATTGGTATTCAAGGCACACGCCACGCGAGGAATAAAAAGCTCCCTTGGACTTGGCGGCAATGCAATTAAGGCAGCTTTCGTCGTAGTGCCATTGCCGTCCGTACTCCACACACCGCCGATGCCGAGGGGTTTCAGATATTTTTAGGTGTACCGTTTATTGGGTCTAATCCACTTCAGATGCAACATGTACTCCGCTTTCAAAGATTGCATGGTTATGAGTCAGATTTACAATCAATGGTTCGTGCTGCGTGACACAGCAATGAACAATGAAATGTTTGCCAATTACAACTACAGGTACAATACTGTTGTTAACAAGAGGAGTTTTAATATATCTGTAAGTACAGCATATACCAATAAATATCATGAATGGGTCCAAATCTGTAGTTTTAATAGTTGGCTCAGAATGATGGCACATTTTCGTAAGAATGTAATTTCCTGAAGACGACATGAAAATTATTGAAGACGTCATGGCTTGCGACTGAAGTATAACGGCAGAAAAGTAGGTTGATTGAAAATTTATAAATAATAGAAACTTTGGGAGAGAGATTGAACCATGACACGATCGAGATGACATCTTAAAATTAGCGGAGGAATGTTATACGCATATCCATAGCAAAAGAAAGGTATCTAAAAAAATCAAACCGTTTCTCTAATAAAAAAGAGGAAGCTCCACATGCCACAATTGACGAAATCAACGCTGCCCTTTATAGTACACCACAAATATAGGTCTCCTGGACTAGTTAGTGGAACTGGACATCATCAATGAAGTGGGACCAATTGTTGGCACAATTAAAGACTCAATAAATGCTTACACAGAAATTAAATACATCAATCGTTAAACAAAATATTTCAAATAATACACGGTTAATA